CCTATATATTGGAAAACAACAATAAGAATATACTTATTTATACAGCAGCGTTTGCTGACTAGTAGCTAAAAATGTATACGATCTTTCACAACAAACACATTCATTGATTTGGCCTGTAGTGTCTTAAAGTAGGGGTTAGATGGATAATGCACTGAGTGAGTTGGAGTTTTATTTTACTTCATGCAGATGCAGATAATCCCCATCACTGTGAAAAAGGGTTAGGAGTATAGCTATAACCAAAACATATGTAGAACATATATGTATGTTCTATGCCCAGATGGTTCTATGCTCACATGCTAATATGTAGGGTTTCTGAAATGAGAAAACAGGATGAGTGCAATGATTACTAAGATAAGCTGTCCAGAAATACAACGTTTCAGGAAACATTGGAACAGAGGCAGATGTTTACATAGTCTCCCGTGATATAGGTTCTCTGTGTCTCCATGCTTTCCAATGAGAGAACAACTTTTACTTATATTAAGTTAGGCAGGTGGCATGTCTGAACACACAGACAAATCCAGGAAAAATCAACATCCTTTATAACATCTGTTATAAAGGAACTCAAAGGATCCAAAAATGAAATAATCGTATGGTTTAAAGGTGGGAGAAAAAAAAACTTAAAAGGTCATGAAGCCAAGTTTCTATAAATACTATAAAAAAAAGAAAATAAAAAATAAAAGCTTGGCCCAAAGCTTGAAGTTTGGTTGAACCACAGCCAACACACATTGAGAAAAAAAAAAAAAAATCACCAAATTTTCATGTCACCGTTTACTACGGAATTATTAAGGAGATAAATTTAAATTCAGGTGTATTCATAGTTCACTGCAATCCTCACATAAATATTTTATTGAAAAGAAAAGAAACTTTAAGGTATGTAAAATATAAACATATAAGAAGTAAAGTACATTCATGTTCTACCACGCTTGCTCACATGAGGACCCATCTCCACAGCAGCCCTCTTCTCCGTCATGGACTCAAACCAGACAAAGCATTTGAAGGTACTTCTCAAGGAACAAATTCCCAAGAGACTCGGCCCAGTGACTATTCTGGGTAGCCAGTGATTTCTGCTTCTGGCCACACTATCTACATAAGAGAAGGGTAGATATTATGCAAATGACTGCCACTTCTTTACTGCTCAATATGATGTATTAATTCGTATTAGCTCTTTTACTTTTTCTTGATAATTAATTCCCAAATATTTTTGCATTAAAATTCTTATATTTTTAGGGTTTGTGTGTGTGTGTGTGGGGTCAAACCAATTAAATTATTTCAAATTAATAAATTATCACTGAGGGGATTCATAACTTACCTTTATAACAAAATTTGAGAAAAAACAGTGCTCTAATTTCAAATGAACTGAAGTACAACCATTGAAAGAAGGTTTTAAAGTCAGAATAAGTTTGCCTTTTGATTCTTTGGTGCAACTAGAGATTGAACCCAGGGCCTTATTCAAACTAGGCATCTGCAACTCAGAATTAGTTTTAAAGTAACGGAATAAAATCCTCCCACCCATGACTGATCTCATTATCTTACAGTATTCCTTTTAAAATGTCTTTATTTTTACAAATAAAGACCATTTACTCTTCTAGCTTGTTATATTGTAACTCTACTAAAATAAAATTGTACCCAAGTCTCACTTATTGAAATCTCATTGATTTATTATAAATTTAAATTGCTACTTCCACACCAAACTATCAATACATTTTCCAGAAGAAATCGCATAATGGTTTCTATTCAAATGTCAATACTATTTATTTATATTACAGCTCATTTTTAGGCCACCATGTCTTTTGTACACTGCATTATACTACCATTTGCACTATGAATTGAATGAATGGCAATTACCAACAGCAATGAAAGTGTGTGAGGACCCTACATTTGCAATGATTTTTTTAAAGTCTCTTTTCTTTTAAATTTTTTTTATTAATTTATTTTTAATTAATTATAATTTATTCACTTTGTATTGAAGGAATTGAGGACAACAGTGCTAACTCCATTTTGTTTCTCAGACTCTATCTTAAGTTGATTGTCCTTAAAGTGACTTGGCCACCACATTTGGGTTTCGAGAAAATCCACCTGGCCCTCCACCCCACAGGTTGTCATGAATACCACAGAATGTGATAATTGATAACTACAATCAGGACTCCATTCCACAGGTTGTCATAAATACCACGGATGGATCTTCTACCCAGCAGGCTATCATAGAGATACCCTAGAAATCTTGCCATTTGGCCTGGTGGCTTTTTGAACCCTTTTCCCCAATATTACCCTTCCCTGTAATACCAAGGCTAGTAATTCCCCACTTGCAGTTTTCCCCTTTAAAAACTCTACCTCCCTGAGACTGGAGGAATCACTTTCTAACCTGTTGCATCAGGATAGATTGGTGGCCCCATCTTAAGCTTGAATAAAGATCCTCCAGTGATTTGCAACAGACTTGACTTCTGGTGATCTTTTTGGGTATCTAATGAATCGGGCACAACAGTATCCCAGCTGTAGCATCCTCCAATCTTTCTCTCCCAATGCTACCTTCTTCTCCTCCTTTGTCCCTCCCCCAGTCCTCTGATAGGGGAGTTCCTCCTTCCCTTCCATCTGACCCTAGCCTATCAGGTCTCATCAGGACTGGCTGCAATGTCCTCCTCTGTGGCCTGGTAAGGCTCTTCTTCCCTCAGGATGAAGTGATCAAAGAGCCAGCCACTGAGTTCCTGTCAGAGACAGTCCCTGTTCCTATTACTAGGGAACCCACTAGGACACTGAGCTGCCATGGGCTACATCTGTGCAAGGGTTCTAAGTTATCTCCATGTATGGTAATTGGTTGGAGTATCAGTCTCAGAAAAGACCAATTTGCCCAGATTTTTTGGTTCTGTTGCTCTTCTTGTGGAGCTCCTGTCCCTTCCAGGTCTTACTATTTTCTACTCCTTTCATAAGATTCCCTGCACTCTGCCCAAAGTTTGGCTATGAGTCTCAGCATCTGCTTAGATACACTCTTTCAGAGGCCCTCTGTGGTAGGCTCCTGTCTTGTTCCTTGTTTTCATCCTCTTCCCATGTCTATCCCATTTGCCTTTCTAAATGAGAATTGAGCCTCTTACCCAGGGTCCTCCTTCTTGCTTAGCTTCTTTAGGTGTATAGGTTTTAGTATGTTTATCCTATATGATATGTCTAATATCCACTTAAAAGCGATTATATACCATGTGTGTCTTTCTGCTTCTGGATATCTCATTCAGGATGATCTTTCCTAGTTCCCACCATTTGCCTGCAAATTTTATGATTTCCTTGTTTTTAATTGCTGAGTAGTATTCCATTGTGTGAATGTACCACAATTTCTGTATCCATTCCTCAGTTGAGGGACATCTGGGCTTTCTGATTCTGGCCATTATGAATAAAGCTGCTACAAACATGGTTGAGCAAATGTCCTTGTTATATACTTGAGCATCTTTTGGATATATGCCTAGGAGTGGTATAGCTGGATCTTGAGGTAGCACTATTCCTAGTTGTCTGAGAAAGCGCCAGATTGATTTCCAAAGTGGTTGTTCAAGTATACATTCCCACCAGCAATGGAAGAGGGTTCCCCTTTCGCCATATCCTCTCTAGCATATACTGTCACTTCAGTTTTTGATCTTAGCCATTCTGATGGGTGTAATGTGAAATCTCAGGTCTTTCACTTGCTTGGTTAGAGTTACACCAAGGTACTTTATGTTAGTAGTGGCTATTGTGAAGGGTGTTGTTTCCCTAATTCCTTTCTCAGCCCTTTTGTCTTCATATACAGGAGAGCTACTGATTTTTTTTTTTTTTTTAGTTAATTTTGTATCCAGCCACTTTGCTGAAGGTGTTTATCAGCTGAAGGACTTTTCTGTTTGAATTTTTGAGGTCATTCAAGTATACTATCATATCATCTGCAAATAGTGATACTTTGACTTCTTCCTTTCTAATTTGTATCCCCTTGATCTCCTTTAGTTGTTTTATTGCTCTAGCTAGGACTTTTAAGTACTATGTTGAAGAGATATGGAGAGAGTGGGCAGCCTTGCCTTGTCCCTGAGTTCAGTGGCATTGATTTAAGTTTCTCTCCTTTTAGTTTGATGTTGGCTATAGGCTTGCCGTAGATTGTCTTTACTATGTTTAGGAATGTGCCTTGTATCCCTGATTTCTCCAAGACTTTAAACATGAATGGGTGTTGGATTTTGTCAAATGCTTTTTCAGCATTTAAGGAGATGATAAAAGTCTCTTTTCAAAAGAATACTTCTATAGTAGGAAGTCCCAAGGCTGAAGTTCTTGTGAGGACAGGACTGACAAACATCTATTTGATGAATTACCTTTATCTTCCACTAAAACAAATGTCTCTCAATTTAACTGCCCGTATTAACTTCTAGCCATCTTTGTCTAGCAACTTGCTACTTCAAATTTAAATCACTTATTTAATAAGCTATGCTATCATACAGGTCATAGCAGGCATACTATTAAAAGCAAGAATTCAGAGTTGTGCAGGGATGTTGTACAACTTTAATCCAGTACTCAGAAAGAGAGGCAAATGGATCTCTATGACAGACTGGACTGCAGAGCAAGTTCCAGGACAGGCAAAACTACACAGAGAAACTCTATCTTAAAAAAAACAAACAAACAAAAAAACAAAACAAAAAAAGGAGTGTTCCATAATTAAAATTGAAAATTGCTATAGCTACAATGAATCAAGTAGTTTACTGTAAAACTTCTCAAAGCTTTTGAGACCATCAACATTGAGGCTCTCTGCTTAAGAACTCACTGTTCTTATGCTAACAGACATGTTAGTCTATCTACCTCTTCCTCATTTGGAAAAAGGAGGAAAAAAGGAAGCATTTCCATCACTTTAGGTCACAGAACTGGGCAGTACAGAACACACCAGAGCTTCTTGGATGGACTTCTCAATCTATCAACTTCCATGATGGTGAGGTCACTTTCACTTTCAACAGTTTTGTGAAAACTTCATTCCATTTTCCCTCTCCTTGGGTAACGACTTTCAAACCACTTACCTCAGTGGTCGTTCCTATGTCAGCAGACGGGCTGCATGTGCTGGTGTCTGGTGGAGCTGTGCCTACGCTGCTCCGAACTGGAGAACAAGGAACAGGCCCTGCCATGGTCTCTGGGTAGACTGAAGACGGACTAAGACTGCCTCTCTTCTGAAGCGTATTCCAGACTTTACTCATGGTGTCAGCCAATTCATAAAAGAGCTGGACCTGAGCATGGGGGAAGTGGAGGAAAGAATCAAGTTTGGAATTCTATTCATAACCCACTAAAATGCTAGATATAAGAAAATTAACACATCCAGAAATATGAGCGTGTACAAAATAACTGCCAGTGCATTGTGTCTCAAACTTATACTGTGCTATTTCATAATCAAACAAGCATTTCTGTGGATGGAAGTAATCTAATGAGAAGAGTTCATTATTGAGAAGTAGATTCCTTTTAAGATATGATAATGGAACAAATACAAATGCCTCTTCCACAGAGAACTGGGTAAAAAATAGAAAGCAAATATATACCCTGGTAAATGTGATTACTTTGTGAACTATGGAAAGTATTTCACCCCCTTTTTCAGATAATTTCCTTATCTAAATGTTCTCTATTTTCCTGAGGTAAAAATGAAATGGGATTTCTTGCAAGGCAAGTAAAAAGGGTGATATAAGAGTAGGACAAGGAAAATATTATGAGACTTCTAGAGACAGAAAACATATCCAACTGACTTCCCCTGGGAAATGTCATTCCAATATTCAGAGAAAAGCTGGTTAACTTGTAAATTGTTTGACTGAGTTCTAAGATATTTATACAAGATTTCATAAATAAGCATTAATCACGGAGTTTGTATGAGAACACATTGGCATATACTATATAAAACAAGCCCAGGGGAAATGAAAAAAAATAACATACAAGCAAATCCACAGCTGGATACCATACTCTGATTACCATTTAAAGAGGTGAAATTCTCCTATTTATGAAGAGTTTCAGCCTCGGGACACATCCAGATGATGAGGATGGCTTCTCATGTGGGCAGAACACATACACAGAACCAATGCTGTCAATGCACCCCTGATTCAAAGCCCTGCGTGGTATACAGTTTTCTACTGCTTTTGTGTAATGAAGTCTCAAATCTGGAGTCATGGATATTTCTTCTTTTAAAATGACCTAATGGCTACAGACTACAGATTCTACCAAAACAAAACAAAACAGAAAAATACTTCAAAGAATAAACACTTCTAGTCTATTTCATAAGTAAGATTTTTTTTTCTTAAAAGAAACAATTTTGTTGGAACCCAAATGCTTCTTTTTTTATTAAATAAAAGAGCTGTCTAATAAGGACAGCATTAACCAAAGGAAGTAAGTTCTACTCCTCACAGTTTAGATTTATTTACCTTTGAGGCATAGTACTGTTTTTACTGTCAGTACTTCCATTTCCTTCCACTGTTATGTTTTTAAAATCATGCAAAAACACATGTGTTTAAGGTGGCAGCAAATAACAACATAAACGTCAAATGTAATTTTATTTTCAAAGGAAAACTTGCTAACATCACTTCTCATCCCAAATAAAGCAAACATTTTGAGAATAAATGATCAATTTCAGTTGGAAAAATGAAACACTGAGAACTAAAATCAACAACAAAATTAGAATGTGTATAACTAATCAGTGTAACCATTCTAAATATTACCACAGAGTAACAGACACTCTCATTTTCTGCTGCTGAAAATATAAAATTTAAATCCAGTTTGTGAATTTTGAAAGAAGTATATATTTACTACATTATCTGGCCATTTCAAGTAGTTTCTCTAAAAAGAAAAGCTGATTGTTGCTGAGGCATACATACAAACATTTACAACATTATGTGTGATAACTTAAAAGTGGAAAATTCCCAAATGCTTAATAACAAGCATGGAAAAACCAAACTACAACCACATAGTTAAATGTTACTTAGCAATAAAAAAGTCTGATGCATGTGAAATATAAACTAATTTAAAAATGGCTGTGAAGAATGAAGGAAGCTAGAAAAAAATTACAACTGTATAATTCCATCGACCCAAATGTCTAAGGAAAAGGGAGTGGGGTTTCAAAGGTCTATAAGTAACTTTGGAAAACAGTTCCTAGGATGGTTTAACGAGTATGGATATCCCAAGTTTTTCCAAATTTAAACACAGAGTTTATTGTACACTATGAGTACTTCAGTAAGACTGGATTAAGAGATAAATGAAAACTATGTATCTGTGAATACCATTTTCTGAGCTATGTGTGAACTTAACTGAAAAGCAATGGCAATCTGAGAATGAAGAACTAGCTAAATGAAAGTTTTATTTTTTAACTATTCAAAGATAAAGATAATCTTATCATAAAGAATGGAACCTAGTTAGAAGTTTATCTCTGAGATCTAGAGCATAAAATGGACACCCACTGAGATCCAGAATAAGAAATCAGTGGCCACCAAAAATATAGAACAAGAAATGGATACCTACTGAGATCTGGAACATAAAGGATGCTCATTGAAATACAAAACATGAAATGGATGCCCAATAAAATCTAAAACATGAAATGAATCCCCACTGAGATCAAGAACATGAAATAGATACCCACTGAGATCTAGAACAAGATAGGATACTCACTAAGGTCTAGACGCAAATTGGATACCTGGTGAGATCTAGTACATGAAATGGACACCCACACTCACAACTTTACCTAAAAGCTATTCACTCAGAAGTCTGTGTACACAAGGATCAAGAAAGACAGGTGACCAACCAAGGACCAACCTAGAACCTCTGCTCGGATGTAGCCCATGGTAGCTCAGTATCCCAGTTGGTTCCCTAGTAAGGGGAACAGGGACTATTTCTGACATGAACTCAATGGCAGGATCTTTAACCTCCCCACCCCCCAAGCCTCCCCCCAAGGGAGGAGCAGACCTGCTAGGCCACAGAGGAGGACTTTGCAGCCAGTCCTGAAGATCCCTGATAAAACAGGGTCAGATGAAAGGGGAGGAGGTCCTCCCCTATCAGTGGACTTGGAAAGGGGCAGGGAGGAAATGAGGAAGGGAGAGTGGGATTGGGAGGGAATGAGGGAGCAGGATACAGCTGGGATACAGAGTTAATAAAATGTAACTAATAATAAAAATAAAGAAAGAAAGCCAGGTGATAACAAAATGCCTAATTTCATAAAAGAAGAAGGGGGTAGGGTGCACAGAAGAAGAGGGAGAGGCGTGCCAAATCACCTATGTTCCAGCTCTGAGCAACAAGGAAAGAGTTACAAGAAGAGAATTCCCAGCTGGACATGGTGGTGCATGCCTTTACTCACAGCACGTAGGGAGGTGGAGACAGAAGAAAGATGATTGCTTTGAGTTCGAGATCAGCCTAATCTACAAAGTGAGTTTTGGACAGCCAAAGTCACACAGAGAAACCTGTTGGGAAAAAAAAAAAAAAAGCTTCCTGGTTAGGGAAGAGAGAAAGAACTAAGTCCAGAGTTTGGGAACTAAAACAGCACCAGATCCTTCGTCTTGGAACATTACAAGCCAAGCATTACCACTTTCTTGTTATGTTTTATTTTATTGTTATCTACTGTCATAGTGATGGAAAGCCAGGGAACACATATAGAGAATTTGAATCTGTTCTTTCATGTTCTACTCTGTAGAACGTAAGGAACCAAGCTCCATTAATGAGATGCCTTAAAACCTCAGAAATGTTTGTGTTGAGTATGGTTAATAAGTCATTATATCAGCACTGTAATGTATCATCTGAGACAAGAGTAGAATCATTCCTTGCTGCCTTTCTAAGACCTGCGTGTCCTGAGGTCTGTACCCACATACTGAAAGTTCTGCTCCCACAAATGCACAACAATTGCCCATGGGCCTTCATATTATTGTCTGCCTATGGGTATCTGTGTTCAAAACTCTCTTTTAAAATGGAATTAATAAATTTGACTCTAATGCCTCATTTTACCTTGATTACCTTTGTCACAAACCTTATATCACATTCTGAGATAAAGGGGACTAGGACATTAATACCAACTTTCCAACCCCAGGGACACTACTCAAACTCAACAATTTTTCTTACTCTTAGAAACATTTTAAGGCAGCCACTAGCATTAGCATTCTAAAAGCATCCTAAAAGAAGGAGAACCATGCCATAGCTATTCTCCTTCACAGCACTACCAGAACAGTCCAAGAATGGAGTCCTGTGAGACAAAGTCTGAGTGCTTCTCAGGAAACACCAAGAAAACAAGACAAGAGTCTTTTGACCTCAATTTCTTAAAAAAACACAGAATTCTTGGAATGTGTTTACATGATCCTCTCAGGTGTAGAGGACAGGAATGAGTTTGCTTCAGATTATTCATTACAACTGGCAAGTATGTGTTTATGTTCCTCTACGGAAAAACATGTTTTTACCTCATGTGGCTTGGATTGTATACTTTACTCAGGTGACTATTCTTAACCCTCAGAGTATAAATTATCTAATGCTCTGAATAAGGTTGGCTACTGCATCAGACTTTAAGATTAAAGCCTCATTTTTAGGCCCCACTCCAGATTCATGACACCAACTAGAGTGGTAAACACCATTCTATGAAAGCACATAGCACATTATATACAATACAACAGAGAGAAGCAGGGAGAGCGCCAGCAAAGTGGTTCTGTGCAACCAAGACTGATAACCTGAGTTCTATCTCCAAGACCAATTGGTTCAAGGACAGAAACAACTCCCATAAGCTCTCCTCTTCAAATGTGGCATGCATGCACACCCACAAACAAACAAACAAACAAACAAGAGACAGCAGAAGAGAAAAGAGCTGCAATGTACTAGAAAGGAAGTTCTCCAATATTGAATGATAGCAGAACTTAGTTTTTTTTTTTTTTTTTTTTTTTTTAATACTTTAAAAACTACCCAGTCATGGTGGTGCATGTCTATAATTCCAGCACTCTGGGAGACAAAGGCTGGCAGATCTCTGTGAGTTTCAAGACCAGCCTGGTGTACAGAGTCTAGGACAGCCAGGGCTATTACACAGAGAAACCCTGTCTCAACAAATAAACAAGCAAAATAAAAGAACAGAAAAACTGGCTAATAACTACTAAAGCTGAAATAGAGATTTAAGAATACTTGAAGTTAAAAAAAATGCAAATTTTGGAACAGGAGAGATGGCTCAGTGGTTAAGAGCACTGTCTGCTCTTGGGAAGGTCCTAAGTTCTATTCCCAGCAACCGCATGGTAGCTCACAACTATACTGGGATCTGATGCCCTCTTCTGGTGTGCAGGTATACATGCAGAAAGAGCACTCATCTACATAAAATAAATAAATCTTTTAAAATTTTAAATTTCATATATGCTAATGATTTATATAAAACCAGATGAGATGAATTCATAGTAATCATAAGATAAAAATATATCATGAGTGGCATATCACAGTTGAAATGATATAGGAGTAGCACTGTCCTTGAGTAGGAAACACTGGTGTTCTCTTCTGGTACAAAATATGGCAAGACGAGAAAACAGATTGTGAGAATCTGATTAAAAATTATACTTGATCAGTTCAGTACACCCTCTAGTCAACATGATTTCCAAACATCAGAACTACAACTGATTTTATTCTTTCAGCCAAAAAATAAATTTATGCTATCATCAATACAATTCTCATTATAAAATTTGACAGAACTTCAAAGCCATTCTTAATCTAATCACCATAATGTTGACGACCAAACAGATATGGTATTTAACAGGGAGAAAAAAAAAAGCCTTTTAAATAAACGAACACTGAAAATAAAACCAGTTAGCTTTTCTAAATCAAATGTACCAACCTGAGGATTAGAACATTTGATTTCTAATGACTCTAAGTCAACATGCAGACAGACAACGAATGAATGCCTTCCATCAGGTCCCAAAGGAAGCAGCTTTTGAGATGTGACCGCTAGAGTAGAGGTACATCCCATGGGTTCCACTAGGGAAAGTGTCACTTGCTTTCCAAAAAGGGTATATATGCTGAAATGATGCAAGCTTATGGTCCAAGGAAACGCATCACCTAAAGAGAAAACAGAAGATCAACAAAATTATATAGGTAACTAACTTAAACAGAAACTTCTCTAACATTTCTATCTGAAATGTAAATACACTGTCGTAATTATTTATTAATATCTATATCTTTACAAAATAAGAAATATCGATATACATGCATCAATGTATCTGCCATATAATATTAAGAACACTGGATATAAATCTTAAATGTGTAAGTGGTTACCACAGAGTGACTTATTTTCTTCTATGTATAAACAAAATTTCTTTAATAAGAATGTTGCTGGAAGTCCTTGCTAGAGCAATAAGACAGTTGAAGGAGATCAAGGGGATACAGATGGGAAAGGAAGAAGTCAAATTATCACTATTTGCAGATGATATGATAGTATATATGAGTGACCCCAAAAACTCTACCAGGGAACTCCTACAGCTGATAAACACCTTCAGCAAAGTGGCCGGATACAAAATTAACTCAAAAAAATCAGTAGCACTCCTGTATACAAAAGACAAAAGGGCTGAGAAAGAAATTAGAGAAACAACACCATTCACAATAGCCACAAATGACATAAAGTACCTTGGTGTAACCCTAACCAAGCAAGTCAAAGACTTGTATGAAAAAATATTCAAGTCTCTGAAGAAAGAATTAGAGGAAGATATGAGAAGATGGAAAGATCTCCCATGCTCATGGCTTGGCAGGATTAACATAGTAAAAATGGCCATCTTACCAAAAGCAACCTACAGATTTAATGCAATTCCCATCAAATTGCCAACACAATTCTTTACAGACCTGGAAAGAAAAATTCTCAACTTCGTATGGAATAACAAGAAACCGAGAATTGCTAAAACAATCCTCTACAATAAAAGATCTTCTGGAGGTATCTCCATCCCTGATCTCAAGCTGTACTATAGAGCAACAGTTATAAAAACTGCATGGTACTGGCATAGAAACAGAATGGTGGATCAATGGAATCGAACAGAAGACCCAGAAATAAACCCATACACTTACGGACACCTGTTTTTTGACAAAGATGCCAAAACCATACAATGGAAAAAAGATAGCATCTTCAACAAATGGTGCTGGTCCAACTGGATGTCTACATGTAGAAAAATTAAAACAGATCCATACTTATCACCCTGCACAAAACTGAAGTCCAAGTGGATCAAAGACCTCAACATAAAACCAGACACATTAAATCGGCTAGAAAAAAAAGTGGGGAATACCCTAGAACTCATTGGCACAGGAGAAAACTTCCTGAACAGAACACCAACAGCACAGGCTCTAAGAGCAACAATCAATAAATGGGACCTCATGAAACTGAAAAGCTTCTGTAAAGCAAAGGACACCGTCATCAAAACAAAGCGACTGCCTACAGATTGGGAAAGAATCACCACCAACCCTTTATCTGACAGAGGACTCATATCCAATATATATAAAGAACTAAACAAGCTGAAAAGCAATAAACCAAGTAATCCACTTAAAAAATGGGGAACAGAGCTAAACAGAGAATTCTCTGTAGAGGAATATCGAATGGCAGAGAGCACTTAAAGAAATGCTCAACCTCATTAGCCATTAGGGAAATGCAA